GCACCTGGGCAGGAGTAATAAAATGCACCAGTACAGGTTAGGAGGAGATCTGCTAGCAGCCCCGTGGGGAGGGACCTTGTAGTCCTGGTGGACAACGAGTTGTCCATAGGACAGAAGTGTGCCCTTGGGGCCAGGAAGGTCAATGGTTTCCTGGGATGCATGAAGAAAAGAGTGTCCAGCAGAACAGGGGAGCTGCTTCTCCCCCTCTGTTCTGCCCTGGTGAGACCTCACCGGGAGTATTGTGTCCAGTTCTGGGCTCCCTATTTCAAGAGGGACAGAGATCTACCCGAGAGAGCCCAGTGAAGGGCTACGAGGATGGTTGGGGGACCGGAACGCCTGCCAGATGAGGAGAGGCTGAGAGACCTGGGGCTTTATAGTCTGGAGAAGAGAAGACTTAGGGGGGATCTAATTAACGTGTATAAATATATGAGGGATGGGGGTCAAGAAGAAGGGGGCAACCTGTCTTCAATTGTACCCTGCCCTAGGCCAAGGGGCAATGGTCACAAGCTGGAGCAGAGGAAGTTCTGCCTCAGCATGAGGAAGAACTTCTTTACTGTAAGGGTTCCAGAGCCCTGGAACGGGCTCCCCAGGGAGGTTGTGGAGTCTCCTTCCTTGGAGGCTTTTAAGACCCATCTGGATGCGTTCCTGTGTGACCTGCCCTAGACTAGATGGTCCTGCTCTGGCAGGGGTTGGACTGGATGATCTCCGGAGGTACCTTCCAACCCCCATAACATTCTGTGATTCTGTGAAAATATTGTTACTTGAGGGTCTGGTGACAGTCCAGACAAGTCCACAGGGATGAGGCAGATTTGAGGTAAGGCTGGGAAATCAAGTTGGGGTTGAGGTCACTGAGGTGCAGGCATCTCTACAGCAAGGAGGATCAAGGCCCTGCGATGAGGCTACTCCTGTCTCTTTCTTCTGCAGCTCATTGGCTGGACCCTGATCCCTTGTGCTTGTGGGTGGGTCATGGGGAAGAGGCTGCAGAACCTTGTGATACATTGAGGCTCAAGAAGCATATGGAAAATGTGGAGTTGTTTCAAATGGCCAATGAGAACCAAAGCCTGTGGAAATTGTTCTGTTCTCATTTCCTCTGAGCTTTAGGTAAGGTCTTGCTTGGCAGTTGGCAAGGTGCTGGGGTTTCCTAGTTATGATGGTGAAACAGCTATTTATCAGTAGTTTAATTTGACTAACTGGGCCTTTTTTGGCAGGAAGATGGACCAGATGACATCCAGGTGTCCTTTCCATTATAAATTAATCTGTAACTTTGAAACAGGTTCCTTTAAAAATAGGTCTAAACAAACAAAATAACTTACGGCTACTGAATGATGTTGCTGTTTCTCTGTGTTTTACTGTATTTGGCAACTTGTGGGTAACTCTGGAACTTCAGCTGCAGGTTTAAGGCAAAACTATAGTTTTGAAATTGTCAATTTTTTTATTTTCATACTGGAGCTGGATGATTAGGTGATTCTGCTAGAACAGAACAATAACTTGGAGTGAGTTCTAGTACATAATTGGATACCTTTTGGTAGTTAAATTACAGGTTGAAATGCCTCTAAGAGATTTGTTCATGGATTATGAACCATCTTTAATGGCTGAACTGGGCAGTGTGACTAAGATGAGACATGAATCAGGGACATTGTTGGAGGTGAAAGAGTGATGAGATCTAGTGAAGGAAAAGGAAAAACACTGTCCACTGAGCATACAGAGGAGTTTGTGAACCATAAATACTTGTGAGAAGGAAGCACGGGGTATGTTTAAGAAGGCAGTGGCAAATAGGTTGCTATGGCTTGTGCCATCAAAGGATCAGTAGAGGCACTGGAAGCAATCTTCCAGTCAGCTCCCTCCATTGTGTAATCTGACATGCACTGTCAGAAAAGCATCTGCTATTAGTTGCCAAGTCATACTGAGCTCAAAGTATAGTATGATTTTAAAAAGATCATGTAATGTAGGGAATTCCCTTAGTATTGTACTAAACACCTGCTCTAATGTGGTAGTCTGTGTTTTTTAAGTCATAGCAAAAGTTAAGCACACATCTCCTGTTAGGACTCTTCAGAGGGACAGTTGTACCTAACCAAACTTCTGAGGCATGCATGTTGTCTTTAATCTCTGCAAAAAAACAAAAATGTGGATGTCCTATGTCACAGATAGATTCTGTGCTGTTCTCCTAGCTGACTTGTTGAGGTTTTAAGTTCCATTGCTGTCGGTTCCTTCTCCATTTTCAACACCAATAATTAAACATTGTATCTGGTCTGAAATTACCATTCTTTTCACTTCTTGATATTTGGTTTTCTTGAGCTGGCATTTTTCTTCTGGGCCCCAGCTAAGAAGGGTTTGCAAGGCACAGAATTGGAGCAGTAGGACCCATTGTTCCTTCAAGATAGCTAATGTATGATAACAAATTAAAATAAAATTGCAGTGGCATAATCAGAGGACACTGTAACTTTCATACATTAACAAGTTGAAGTCAAGATTGGGAGCAGTTTGGTCTCATCAAAAGGAATTTGAGACTGCTTTTATGGTAGCTAAGATTTTCCCATTTCTTACCTCGCATCAAGTAAGAAAGCACCTTTTTGCTGACAAAGACAAATTTGGAGTCCAACCAAACATAGCTTTTGGTAAATGGTGACTTGTTCCTGATCTCGTCCAAACAGTATCAATGTCTTGTTCTAGGGAAATTCAGGAGGTGGGGTGAGAGGGGAAGAGGAAGCAGATTACCATCTGATTTCTGTGCAAGAGACAGGTACTGGTGCTGTTCTGGGAGTACTTTCATTCCTCTGGAAAAGCAGAGCGATTGCTACCAGGCAGAGTCAGCCTTCATTTCCTCTTTTCTGTGGGCAAGACAGGCTGTCTTCTTAATTCTGGTTGTCTTCTTTGAAGGAAGACTGGCAGAAAGCAGGAGCTTCATAAAGGTGATCTCCAATGACATATGGCAAGGTGCCTCAAGCTGTGTCAGTAGGAAGCATCCTAAATAAAAGACTTTCAGTAGAGGGACAGGACCTCAGCCTGAACCAATTGACTTTCCCTCCCTTTCCCTTGAGAGTAGAATTTTGTTCCTGGAGAATGCTGACAAACAAGATCCAAGCCGCCTGTGATGGGTCTTGAAGACATGAATGAACAATGTTGTCCTGGGGGCACTGGTGTTGCTTGGAGAAAATTCTCATAGGACGTTAGGACTTGAAGTGCTGAATTTTAAGAATTTGAGGTTAACTGCGGTCAGTCTTTCTGTCTGTAAGTTAAATCCAACTTGCTCTTTCACCACTGATTCCCTGCGATCAGTGGGTGGTGTGTTTTAAAGAATAAACTACTGTGTTGAGGGATGGGAAGAGGGCTGCAGTGTCACGTCAGCTCGCTCTGTGAAGCCCCCTTGCTCCTGGGTGTGTGCAGCAGGACACCTGCGCTTTTCACCTCCTTCGGACCATTTTTCCCTATGCCGTTATCCTTCATTCACTTGGGTGCTTCCTGACATCTTCCTGCCTCTCAACAATGCCACCCCACTCTCAGTTTTTCCTGTTTCCTTTCTTAAAAGTGGGAATTCTACTTCAGCTGAGTTTCTCCAGGTCAGAAGAACTACTGTGCCTGGCTCTCAAGGGCTGAACCAAAAGGCAGAATTCAACTTGTGCAGGAGATGAGACCTCATGGCATCAAGAAGTCAGCTCCCACCTTTGCTTGTGGCACTGGGGTGAGCTGGAAGGTGGCTCCCAGGCATGCCTGGTAGGTAAGCAGAGGCTGTCTCCAGCAGGGTGGCTCCCGGCTTGTTCTGCACACAGACAGGCACAAAGTTGTGCTGATTTCCTTGACCTCAGACACCAGCCACACTTGGCAGCTGGCTTCCAGCTCTCCTGCTTGCATAGACAGACAGGAGCTCAGGGTTTGGTCTCCTGGTCTTTCTTCCACAAAGCGTGAAGGGAGCAGGAGCTCCTGGCCCTGCCTGTGGGTAGGGAGTGTCTCCTGGGAACCAGATCTCTGTACCTACAAGAACTAGCAGGAGACAAGAACTGGCTCTTGGCTTGTGTTGCTGGAGGAGTTGTACAGCAATTAGGAAGGTGTGTAGCAGTTGGGAACCTTGAGCTTGTCTTTGAAAGGTAGCTTTGCCCTATATTTTTGTCTGAGACACACTGTCACATTGAAGGGGGCACTGTAGTGTGAGACAAATACTTCCTCAGATCTTGTTACCGTTTCCATTACTTAAAATACGTACAGTCCAGTTCCAGCACTGTACAGTCCTTATTACTGATTGTAATTACTTGGTGTGTTTCAAGTAGTTGTTTGTTCACCAAAAATGCTACGTATTACCAAAAAGTCTGCCAGGGCTGTAATAAACTGTTGCCCAGTTACAGCTACTAAACTGAGATAAACTTCGAGGCTTGCATTTAGGTGTGATCAAACTCGTCGTACTGCCCTCCTTCTTGTTGAACATATCTGAGGTTCAAGTCTGCTTAGTCCAGGAGGTGTTCCTAGGCTTGTGTTCCTGCCTGCCGTGTCCCCCCATCCCCTGTCCTGCATGTCATTGTCCTCTGAGGTAACTACAGAAAAGCTGATCGTGAAATAGTGGTAATTTTACAGAGGATGTGTTTGAATGTGGAGAACTCTGGGACTAATGCAAAAAGCCTCAATTACAGTGGCACAAAATTTTCATTGTTAGCACCTTGAAAAGATTATGATGAAAATTGGTTAGCTTTAGTCGTGTTTTTATAAATTGTCTTTTAATTTTAATCTTTTCTTACTTGACTTTGAGATTTGAAATGTGTAGTTGAGTCTCTTCTAATCAAACACTGTGAGTATAAAACTTCACAAGTAAAAGTGTCATTCAGAAACTATTTGTGAGGGTGTTCAGAACTTTCTGATGATTTTGGTTTGCTTCACAATATGTTACTAATTTATATGAACAGTATTGCTTTCCTATTAGAAAATATAATATTTGTTTATATGCTTGTCTCTGTTTTCTTTTTTTTTTTTTTTTAAATTTGAATATTAAATGAACATTTTTCTTTTCTTCCCAGAGGATGCTAAGCAAGTTTTTGGCCAGACCACGATTCATCAGCACATTCCTTTTAACTGGAATTCAGAGTTTGTACAGCTGCATTTTGGAAAAGATAGAAAAAGACACTTAACATATGCGGAGTTCACCCAGTTTTTACTGGTGGGTCTAATACAATACAGTTTGTCAAGAGTGATAAGAAGGATGCAAGAGTAGAAGTAATTGTAAACTTGCCAAATGCCATGCTGGTAGGAAAGTTGAAAGATAGACCAAGTGTAGGCTTTTACAGTCAGAGTGCTGGACTTCACTAGTGTGTCGAAAAAAAAGAATATGCTTATGGTAAAATTGCCGACTAAGGCTAGCTGGCTTTTTTTTCTGTTGTTTTTTGCACCTGTGTGCAAAAGGTGATCTCTTCTACACTGTTGTGTGGACAGAGATGTGAAAGTAAAAACCTAGACCTCTAAGTCTGAAAATCCCTCTATATTTAAGTCTACAAGCCAAGGAACATTAAATAACAGTATTGAACATTTTGGACCCAGTTGTCAGACCAATATTAAGAAGTACTTCTGTCTGTAAAAAGGATGTTTATCAAACCTGTGTTTAATTCAGTACTGATACCCAATAATGATGTTCTGCTGCAAGCCCTTTCCACACGCTTCTTTACTTCTCACCTTTTGTGAATTAAGAGTATCTTAAATAGGGAGATGCTGCTTAGTTCCACTTGTGGTGTAGAGAGAATAAAATACAGTCTTTCTTTTGCAAGGCTGGCAATCCATACTTTGGGTACTTTGTTACAGAACGTAAAATATTGTGCTAATAAAAAAATAAACAGTTTATCTATATTTCAAGAGTATTGTTAAAAACAGTCTTCATCAGGAAAAGTGATCCTTCAAGTGGTGAAACACGTGAGTTTCTTATTTGTATTCCTTCTGAATACTTAATGTCTATATTAGTATTTACACTAGAGAGTTTTAAAATGGGAACCTGCTTCAAAACTGCAAGGTTTCTTTTTTTCTTGTTTACACAAGTATGTTAGTTCACAGTAGGAGGTGGTATCGTTTTGATGAGGAATAATTAAGATAATGCTATTGAGACAAATTTTTCAAATTGACTTTGTAGAACAGAGCCTAATTAACTTTGTATGAAGAGGACGTCAGGTATCACATGATTAAATCGTATTCCCTTAGGTTTTGTACTGACTATTGTAACTTCTAAGTAGCTAAGACGTAGAGCAGTTTTGTGACAGAATATTGAACTAGAACTCCTTTTTGATAAAAAATAATGTGTTACTTGATTAGGAAAAAATGTTTCTGCCCACATGTTCTGCTCTTCTGGTGCCTCCTTCCAACTGCAGAACAAGCCCTGTGTATATATGTATGTATGATTAAAATTGCAGTCTTAACAGAGCACCAGTTCTGTTGCCTCATGTGTCTGTTTAGATATCTGAGGAAACCCTCAAGAAAAGCAAAAAATGAAAAAAAACTACACTTGCCTCCTCTCTCTTCCCCTCCCCCCCCAAAAAAAAAAAAAAAGGGGGGGGTGTGGGGAGCAATGAGAGGGTTTAGATCCACAGACCTGAAACAGCCTGTAACCTCATGGCTGCGTATTTGGAAGATTTCAGTTCTTTCTTTGTGTCTTTGGGTTCTTTCGTAATTGTTCTTTGAATTCAGAAAAGCAAGAGCTGAGGCAGTATCCTAACTTTGGAGATAACTCCTAACTGCTAGACTTTCTCATCCTGTGGAGGAGCATTCCTCTTCCCTTGTCTGAAAGGACTTTTCTTGGATGTGATTGTATACTGGGGAGAACTGTATTTGGTTTTGGTGTGTATTGCCCTTGCTTTCTTGCTTCTTTTCGGTGTTTTTTTTTTTTTTTAGTTGCTTTCACAGCAAAAGGAACTCTTAGCTAGTTGCAGTGCAGAGTCAGAGGTTGTGTTGGAACACATCAGTGGTCCTCATGAGCCAGACATTTTGATGATGATCCATATAGGACAGAAAGGAAGAAAAGGCATAAACCTGGAAAATAACAATGACAATTCTGACTGCCCTCTAGAGAGGTGAGGTGCATTCAGGAGAGATTCTAAGACTGCTAATGAAGATGCTCTCAGCATTGGTGCAGATAGCAAGGCCTTCCAAATAAATCAACTGTCCTAAGACTCTGCTGAAGCTGTCTGTTATCACTAGTCTGTTAGGATGCTTAGTCAGTCACAGTAATTGGGTACATCTGTTTACCCACTTTCTAGAACTGTAAATCCTTGGAACATGGAAGTTTCTCTGCTGATTCTTGCCTTGGAGCATCATATTATAAATACTGAAATTTGGGCATGGAAATCACTCTCAACAAAAATCTGAGAGTTAATGCTCACAGGCTTAGAAATCTTCCTTTAAGTTCTGTAACCTTTGGTACTCGGGCTTTCTTTCTGACATTCTGCCTGTGCACAAGTCAATCTCCTTGATCTGATGTCTAGACCCTGGACCTTAGGCAGCAGGAGACCTCCGTGGTAACCAAATTACCTTTCTGCATTCCTGATGTGTGAATGCTCTTTACATTGCACTTAACATGGACCAGATGGTTCTGTAAGGCGCTTCAGGTACTGCTTTGTAAGTACAATGCAATTTGCAACTTTTAATGAAATAATCTGGCTAGATTCAAATTTGTTCACATTAGGTCCTATTATGCCACATAAAGTTGTTACATATTCATTATCTGTCGCAGCATTTAGACTAATCATCACTTCTGGCAAAGCTGAAGGTACATGGAAAGTAACATGAGTATGTTTTATCCGTGCACAAGATGGATCTCTTCTGGCTTTAAATTAGAAGAATTCACATGGGATTCTGAATATTTATATCCTGCCAGCATTTTTTTTGCTCACTGTAACAGAGATGCCCAAAAGTATAGCTTGGCTCTGATACAGTTAACAATATATTTGCATCAACCATCAGAGCTCAAGGTGTGTTATTTCACTCTGCTTTTCATTTTGCTAGCTTAGAATTGGCTCATATACCTCCACTATATATCTGTTATGTCTGTATCTGTTTGGATATGGTCGTGTTCCATTGTCACTTAAGTGGAAGTCTGCTTCACAAAGAGGCAACACTGGCCCCTTTCTCAGTGTGTAAAATCTATTCCACAGGATGAATTTTAACATATACTTATATGTAAGCCTGGTAAATCCATTTCCACATTGTCTGGGAATTTATTTGTACCCAGCATTTTAGTTGATGAGGTAGTACTCTTTATAATTGGACTGTGGGATCTACTCCAGTGGCAAGGATTGTGCTGTATCTGATGACTTGTAGATCCATTGGGATGGAACCCAAACATAAATTTCTAAACGGAAAGTATGGAGGCTTTTAATGAGTTGTAAGTGAAAACCGAGGTAAAATCTCTACATAGGAAGTAATTTAATGAAAATTTTGGTGCTGGCATGCCTGCCATGATGTGCAAATTACTTTTTCACAAGTCTTATGCTAACCTGGGGGACTTCCAGCATGAAGAGAGAAGCTTGTTTTCTAACTATATCTAAATTTACAAGAAGTCTAGTTGGAGAAGGTTCTTTAGGATGCAATGAGAGTGAGAAAAGCAAATGAGAATTGTACTTCTTTAAACCTTAATCTGTCTAAGTAAACAATACTGGACTGAAACAGGTGAAACAATAAAAATGACTGCAAGTCAGCACCTCTAAACACTGCAACTTTGCTTTACTGTTTTTCAGTTTGTTTCTAAAGTGGTATTTTTTTATATTAGCTGCATATACACAGTATAGGTGATGTTTTGAACATCTCAAAGATTTCCCTGATAAACTGCTAGTAGCTACTGAGCCTCATTTTCAAATGTAGTTAGCCATGCTGTGAGATGTCTCAACTTTCAGGCTTGGAGACAGAGGGAATGGATAGCCTTGCTTTGGAGTTAAACACTTTAAGGGGGTTATTACACTGTTACACAGTATACGGTGATTAGAGAAGTGACATCTGTCTTTTTTTTGTGACAGAATTATAGGTGAAATTTAGCTTTGAGATTAAGTGTGTTATCATATAAGGGTCTGCATGTTTTTGGATGCCACGTTGCAGATGTGGTCATGGTTTGGGAATGTCATGTGGCTGAAGGTCCTTGTGCTTTTCCTGATGAGTTCAACTGGAAACTGCGTAGCACTGCTCAAAATAACCATAGCCTCAAAAGACCCTGCCTTTCTGAGAAGGTGGGATGAATCTTCTCGATGTGCAGTATGCTTAATTAATTTAATTTCTGAACTAAGGAGGAGGTATGAATAGGAAGCTCCAGAAGACTGACATCATCCTGTTCAGAGGTTTGTCTTGCTCTCTATCTAAGCTAAGTGGCTCTTTCCTATCTGAACAAGAACATGGGCAAATGGCATCCCTGAGTCCTTGACCATGTGTTTAACAAAGTGGGATAATCCTTCTCTCTAGTGGATTCCACAGGTGCCAAAAAGACTGAAAGGAATCATGTTAGCAAGGAGAGGATGGGGTGTTTTGACTTGTACTCAACTGTAGTGCTAACAGCCTTTTTGCAGTTCGCTGCGTGATGACAGGAAGCACGTACTTAACATCTCTCTCTGGAACGCGAGCGCCACTTCTCTTCTGCGGCTGAGGCGTCCCTGTCAGCCAGGGTCCCACCGCTGGTGCACGGACCTCTAGACTTGCTGACAGGTGTACATGGGTGGTAACAAACTGGACTTCTGCAAGTGGTGTCCAGGTTTTTTACTGCGTTTTGGTGCTGGATTCTGCCGGCAGTTTCAGTGGCTAAAACAACTGGAATAAGAGAGAAGAAAGCAATGTTCACAGTTTCCCACATAATCGTTCAGTAAAGTCAATTTATTTTTTCTTTGGTGGTGCTGCCACTTAATGACAAACATTTTGGTTAATTTGGTTGTGGCACGTTTCCACCTGCCAGCTTGTGAGTATTTAGGGACAGAAGAATTACTATACATGAACTCCTCTTCAGAGCTCTTTGCCTCCCAAGTAGCTCCCTGCCTCAAGCTGACAAAGGTTTTTTGTGCTCCTCCCATCGTAAACCTCCCAAAATTGCTTGCTTCCAAATTTCTATTGAAATTATAGTCACAATTGAAGTGAAACAAGAGCTTACACGGCTGCATCCAGCCAGAGTGGATATTATTGCTGAATTGTAACACCTCCACATAGGGGGCTGTAATATAAAGGAAACGTGACAGACCTGAAATGGTAACACTTCAGATTATAACCCCCACAAGTGTTTCTCATCAAAAGCAGAAATTTCTGAATAATTCTGCGAGTGAAATGCAGTGTTAAAACACTGGTCAGTCCCTTCCCTCTCCTCCCCCCCCCCAACTTTTCCTCCTCTGCCTAATATGTTAGGAGGTTGTCATCATATCTTCAGGTGAGGGTACAGTGTTTTAATTAGAAATTAGGACTAAAATTGGAGAGGTCAGGAGGCTGAAATAAAAAGACAAGGATAATTTGACTGGCAGCATGCATTGGTGGCCGTGTTGTGAGCTGAATGAGCACAAGGAGAGATGGTGGCTGCAGGCCTCTGTCTGGCTGGGTCCTACACTGGCTGAATTTGCCTTTTGCCCATCACACTATTTTCTTGAATGCTGCTGTGAGATAATACCAGGAGATCATATTCACTGTGAATACATCATGCTGGTGATTTTTGACTAGCCTGAGTCTTGTCTTAATATGACTTTCAGGGAATATATTTTCAAATATAGTGGAAATAATAAGGTAGTGTCATGGTTCACTGCAAGACTTGCTTAGTATTGTTGACATATATTTGCTCTGATTGTGTTTTCTGAATAACTGATTATGAAAGTTACAAATAAAACAGTCAATAAAAGTTATATTACCTGTACTAATTTTTTTTTTTTTGTTAAGTATGACATATCTTGTAAGATTGCATTATATAAAATCATTAACTACTAAGGTGATGATCTTGAACCTAACCTATTTTTCTTCCCCTGTGTTTTCAGGAGATACAGTTAGAACATGCAAAACAAGCTTTTGTGCAGAGAGACAATGCTCAGGCTGGCAGAGTTACAGCTATGGACTTCAGGGACATTATGGTCACTATCCGGCCACACATGCTGACACCATTTGTAGAAGAATGTCTAGTAGCTGTGAGTAGTTCTGGTATCCCAACGGGCAAAGACCTGGGATACAGACATGAGATTTCTTGTTCTTCATGTACGTTGACCACTGTATGTAGCATGTAGTCCACCTTATGGATGAATGTTTCTCAGTTTAGCAGTTAATATCTACACATATGAAAGTTAACCCTTTTTGCAGAATACGTATTCTCAATGTTCCTGGTCTCCTAAGACAAAAGACAAAGCAGGTAGATGTATCTTAATAATGACCTACAAACGTAGAGTTTGTCTGACTATTTCCAGTCATTCCATCATAGTAGACTATGTCAAATATGTCAAAATGCTATTCCGTCCCGCTGAGGGAGTCATTCTTAAAGAAGTTGCTTTGTAATGTCAGGTCTAAGCTACTGAGTGTGATTTTCAAGTACTTGGGACAGCTTCTGAACTGGAACATCACCCAAGGAAGGACATTCACTGTCTGATAACTGATAGTTGTTACGCTTGAGTGTATGCTTTTTTTCAGTTTAAAGTGCATAAAACAAATTAAATTCTACAATTCTTCAACTTCACTGAAGGAAAAAAAAAAAGTACATTAAGTTTTGACCAGTTTAGAATCTTGGGAACTTGTAGCAGCACTTTCCAAGTAATCTGAAGTCTCATCATATCCAAGATTAAAGAAATCTGTTCTGTTTTGACTTGCGAGGGAGAATTCCAGGGAGATGTGTGAAGTGATGAGAACTGCAAATGTTGGATGGAATAATTGGAAGAACCATACAGCAAAAAGCATATCCAGAAGACTTAGGGATTGACAATGAGATCTTATACTTCCTTCTTTGATTCTCTCCCCAGTCTTGCTATCAGCTTTCTTGGGTTGAACATCCTATCATAAAACACAAGATTTTCGATTCTCCCTCAAGGTCAATTAAATTTTGGCAAACTTATGCGTTGTTTTCTGAAATTTGCTTCATGATCTATTTTATACTTTAAATAGGGAATTCATGCAATAGTTTTCACCAATTTAAAATAAAGGTTTATGCTCAGTTCTCATTTGAGAATTAGTAAATGTTCAAACCTTATTGTTCCCATTTTGTTTGAATGCCTGATGTAAGCCTGAGAGCTTCCTGCTGGTTTTCTGTGACTTGAAATGCCTGTGAATTTAAATGTTTCAGCTGACCTTTTTCAGAATATGTTTTTATTTTGTTGAAATTTTCTCTACAATAATATACTTTACATGTAGAAGTAGATTTCCTCGTTACTAGAAATAAGCCAACTTATGAAACATTTCCAAGTGAAGCAGTACTGAAACTTGAACTTTGTAAATTACTACTGGTTAGGTTGTTATAATCCTGCATATGTATTTGTTTAGGTTTGTAGGGTGGGGAGAGTTTTACATTCTGGTCATGATTAGTTTCAGTAACATAATAATCATTCATAGCTCGCTTTATTTTGCAGTTTTTTTAAAAAGCAAGCCTGTGCTACTGTCACTCTTGTAAAATAGCATTGTTTGGAAACATTTATTTCAAGATTTTTCTTAATCTTGTAACAGTTTCTTTTTTCTTTCTTTTTTCTTCTTTTACTGTCTGTATTTTAGGCTGCTGGAGGTACCACTTCCCATCAGGTCAGCTTTTCCTATTTTAATGGATTTAATTCTCTCCTTAACAACATGGAGCTCATTAGAAAGATCTACAGTACTCTGGCTGGAAATAGAAAAGATGTGGAAGTCACTAAGGGTTGGTAGAAATGTTTGCAATCTGGAAGTTTCCTTGGGCATTTGGTTGGGGCAAGCGGAAGGAAAGACCTCATCAGTCTGCTTTTAAATCAATGAGAGAGGACAAAAGCCTGCCTCGTTAGCATGCCTTGGCATGCCACTCACTTTTGTACGCTCCTCTTGGAGTCCACCCTCCAGGTTTTTCATTTTGTTTCAGTCAGAAAATGTTCCTAGTAAACTGGCGGTGGGGGCAGCATGAGAAAAGTGTGTAAAGGTATTTAAAAGTTTAAAAAAACTTCCTAGGACTCCTGCCAAATTGGCAGCCTATTAAATTGACCTTCAAGGGTAGTTGAAGAATTCTGTAAACTTGTATTGGTGACACAGTAAGCTGATCTACAAGCTTGGAACAAGATGTCATCTGCTGTATCTAGCCACATTTATAGAGAATTCCCTGTGCAATGCCAACGTTTCATTAATGTGGCCTACTGGGACTATGCATGAAAAGTTCCACATCTCTTGACTCCTGGATTTTTTTTCTCTTTGCTTTTTATTTGATTTTTTTTCCCTTTGACCTGCAACTGATTGGTACCTTATGTCAAATATCCTAAATCCTGCTGGTAGTACTAAGCTTTAACACCAGAGAGTTGTACTTGCATGCATGAAGGACAGGATGTTTAAAATACATGTTTATGTAGTAGCAGGAACATTTTTGTGGAGGGTCACTTTTATTCCCCTTCTCCCTTTCCCATCAACATCTTCTACTTAATACTAATATATAAAGCAACTCCGGGGTGCTCTGGATTGTTTGTTCTGGTTTCATTAGTTTTTCTTTTCTGTATTTTTGTTCTGTTGCAGAGGAGTTCGTTCTGGCAGCTCAGAAATTTGGTCAAGTTACACCCATGGAAGTTGACATCTTGTTTCAGTTAGCAGACCTGTATGAGCCACGGGGGTAAGTGGAGAATTATCTACCCTACTCTCTTTCCTTTCCTCCTCTCTCCTTCTAGGAAGAGGTGGGAGGTGGTATTGTGGGACAGGAGAGTATAGTGTAGTGGTCACATGCAGGCAAGTTCTTGTGAGCTGAAAACCCATCACTGAGCAAATGCTAAGCTGAATTAATTTCCCCAGGCGCATGACGTTAGCTGATATTGAAAGAATTGCTCCTCTGGAGGAAGGAACATTGCCCTACAACCTGGCTGAGGCTCAGAGGCAGGTAAGGACAGAAGCCAGCAGGATGCTATTATCTGTTTCCAGTGCCTGGTAAATAGATACCCGGCCTTCTGAGTTGTCGGCAAAGTTGCTTCTTTTGTGTTCTGTAATATCTGCAAGGAGTATCTTCTTGTCAGAATTCGTTTTTAACTTGTGGCACATCCTTTCCATCTCTTCTTGGTGCCCCTCTCTTGGGCTGCATTTTGGCAGCTCAGATGTAATTTACTTTGGAAAGATAAAATATGTCATTTGGCTATTCAGTAAACATTAGGTGTATATCTAATTATTGTGTTTATGTTTTGTGATTGTGTTGCTCTCTCTTCTTTTCAATGAGGAAAGAAGAGTCCCTGCTTCGAATATGGATGGTAAATTCAACATCTAGCCTGTTGAATGGCAGCCCTTGTTCTGAACACTCATGCATGTTCCTGGCTTCTGACTTTTCTATGCTTTGACTTATGCTCTGCTGAATATCAAAATAGGAGATATTATGCTTAGTCTACCAAAAATTTCAGTAAAAGCTTGAATGTTCTCTGTATTTCCACAAACTAAAGGATATTGACTTTCAGTGATATAACAGCAAATGAACTTTTGTTGTGTTTGAGGCAAAAGAGAAGTAGAACTGTTCTTTAGATGTTAGACTTGTTGATCTTGTTAATCTTTAATCTCTTAAATTTTCATTCACAAAAGTTTCTATGTAGATAGATTTAAAGCTAACCCTGTGTTTCTCTTTCTGTCCCTATTTTAAGGCAGTCTTAACTTTGTGTCTTGGGAGGCTAAGGGTTTTTTTGTTGTTTTTCTTTTTTCCTGCTCTGGGTCTATGCGGAGACACCAGTTTGACCACAATGAGTTGATGCAGGCTACGTTTTTAGGACTATCCGGCCATAAGCCAGGCCTGTGTGTGTGTGTGTACACATGCATCTCTTTCGCTTCTCTTTCTTCTTCCTCCCCTACATGTGAACACCCCCACCCCCACTCCAAGAAAGTATCTAGGGTGGTGGTTTTCTGTTTGTTTGAGCAGTGACTAAATATTGACTATACTGGAATGAATTCAAATGAGTTGGCTTCCAAAAGCTCACCATCTATTCCTAGAAGACTCCTAAAGGAGTTAAAATCATTTGCATTGGACTGGGTATCAAGTAACCTAAGTTACAATAGGTGGCAGTAAAACAGAGCCAAAAATGCAGCACTAAAAGTAGCAGCTTCTTCAGTTTTTCCTTTGGGGCCACTCTCTCTGTGAGTATGATTTATGCCATTCTAAGAGGCTAGGACATATGAACCTGCTTAAATCTTACCAGTTCTTCTGGATGTGTGCCCTATCTTTTCATTTTTCCAGTTCTTTTATAATGTCAGCTGCTTGATGCTGAGACTGAAAAGATTTTCAGCTACATTGATACCTTCAATTTATTTTCTGACCGACTTCACCTATATGGGAATATTAGCTAAACTCTAAACACATTTTCAGGAAAAAAAGTGTCTGCATTTTTGTTTTGTCCTTTTGCTTGTAGTATCCTAAAAACATAAGTATTACAAAAAGTGATAGTAAGTATGGAAGGTTTAATGCTGCTGCAGAGATTCTGTTTTCCTAATTCTTTTCTTTCATGAGATAGCAATTTTGTAACTGGAGTACTTCTGAAACTTGTTTTTCATGGGGTTGAATCTAGCACTTGTAGACTGTAAGCAAAATGAAGTTGTGGGAGTGCTTTATGAAACCTTATTTTCCTTTAGCTAATATGTATGAACAATGCTTAAATGCTTGTTTTGATAGCCTGAGAAGTAGTAGGTATGCCTGGTTTTGGCGACAGTAGAAAGAAATTCCAAAGCAGAGTTGCTTTTAGCTGTAGAAAACGAATGACTTAAGATGTAGTATATGTGCCCTCATAGGCACATTTAGACCATTCCTTTTGGAGTTGAATACTTTTGTTGTAGTATCAATTGCTCTTTTCTTTGTTATTCCAATCTGAAGAGGCTACATTATATGGCATTTAGAAATTAGTGGGGAAAAAAAATAATTGAAAACAAAAACTCCAGTGTATTGTGGGATTTTTTTTCCAGGTATCTGTATAGTTAAATTTTTCTCCTTATAAGATATTCTCCCATGAAATTTCTGATTATACTTCATGTCTTTTTTTTTGTTTTAAATCCTTCCCTGACAGAAAGCCCCAGGCGATGTGTCTCGACCTATTCTCATCCAGATGGCAGAATCAGCTTACAGGTTTGCCCTTGGTTCAGTTGCTGGAGGTTAGTCATGACTGAGCAAAAGAATATTCATCTTCACCCTCTGGGTTTTTTCTTCTTTTTTTCTGCCCTTCTTCCCCTTCTGCCTTTCATTGAAGTGTGGAAGGCTTCTTACCCCTTCCCTTGGAGCTGTGTTTAATGGGTGGGTTGACTATATATTGAAGGGAAGGGGTCATCTGGTCTACAAGAGTTTTGGAATTTACAAGCCATTTGAGTTTGCAAGCGGTGTTGCTGTCTGATTTATCACCAAACCAGTTGCAGAAGAATCAGATTAATAATGAGGTAGGGCCTGGAAGTACTTTTGGTTAAAACTGTGGGAGGTAGTTTAATGTATCCAGAATATATTGTGGAAAAAAAAATAACACTGATACTTGAGATGTAAATGTGGAAGATGACAGTTGCAGTCAAAGACTGCAAATGCAGAAACATGTTTTCTTACAGCTTCATTTTTATTTGCAGCTGTTGGAGCTACTGCAGTCTACCCAATTGATTTGGTAAAAACTCGAATGCAAAACCAGCGCTCTACAGGCTCTTTTGTGGGAGAACTTATGTATAAAAACAGCTTTGACTGCTTCAAGAAAGTGCTACGTTACGAAGGTTTCTTTGGGCTTTACAGAGGTAAGTTACAGGTGATGTATACTAATGGTAAGATACTAATAAATATTCAGCGGTACTCTGAATTTTTAAGCCTTTTTTATTAAGATTTTAGTATTGCCTGGTTGGTTCTTTTGCTTCTACTCTGTCTTAGGTAAAGTGTTTGCAAACTTTTTCATAAGTAAAACCTCACTGTAATGAAAAAATTTCTGTAGAACCTATCTGTCCTTTCCTTCCTTATCTGCAATAGGACAACAATAACAATTTCTTACAGCAAAAAAATATACTGTTATCAAGTTTTCATTTCCTTAGCAGTCCTTAGTACCAAGGATTTTTTGTTAGAGCATTCATTTTTGTTTTGTTTCAGTGTTCATTGTTATCTTTCTATTTAAAAACAAAAACAAAGAGAAAATACTGTACCTTGTAACTAACCATCTCTCTTTTTGTGATATTATTGGTGACAAATAAGTCTCTCTGAACCAGCTTCATCTGCTTCACTAATCACTGTGAATAGTCATCTTTATCAAGGTTTATGTATACCTCTTCTTAGCTTGTAATCCTTGAGTCAGAGAGAGAGCTGGGTTTCAACCCACTTAGCTTTATATATGTAACCAATACACACAAGTTATGAAGTTAGATCTTCCAAACTCCCTTTGTAGTCAATGGAGAAAAGCTCATTTACTCTGTTCAGGATGTAACTCATCCTCACTTTGGGTACCTTAGGTGCCTGCATTTAAATGCTGGCTTTTTTTTTAATGTTGTCCTTGTCCCAGTTACGGCATCAATGGTGTAAGTTCAGGTAATGCAGAAGTAGTCACAAAGAATAGTGAACTACTTACTGCATAAGACTGCAGTTCTCTTTCACAGAGCTAAAGCAAATTGTATTTCTGGTATCCCACTTATTCAGATCTTTTCCCTCACTGCATATTCCTTGGGGAGGATTTGAAACTTGTGTTACTTATTTCATTTTTAGCCAGCTTGTTTAGAAACTTTTTTTAGATCTTGAAAATAAGAATATTGTATTGACAAAAATTAATTGCTAAGAGCAGTTGGGTCAGGAATGAAGAACAGAGGATTTCAGTAAAGTACTGTTATGATCTGGAAAAGCTATATGCACCTGAAAAAAAAAACCCTAACAGTTTGTAAGATTTATATAAACTTGTATATATATTTTTATTGATTATTGTTGACTGAGATTGAATCAATTTTTTTATTAGGCCTAATAATTTAATAGAGTATTGACATGGTTTCTATTTTATAATGTTTTATAGCAACCAGAGTTGTAAAAAGATATTCACTAAAGAACAAAATTTATTCCCTGCAAATGTATGCCTGCTTCTTTCAGGATCCTGAAAGAATAAAAGTGCAGAATTCCACTATTATCTGCTTCTGTCTTATTGAAACTCTGAACCACAGTGATTTTTTTTTTTCACCTGGAAAAATACTTTCAGAAATATCATAAATGCATATTTTTAACTCCATTTGCTTGAGGTCTTTTTTCATTGCCAAATCTGGAGAAATTTTAGGAACCTTCAGCAGTACAGCTTGTCCTTCTCTTCCCCATCCCCTTTACTGCTTTCGAGTCTTGCAGGGAGTACTCAGTAGTGAAATCTCAGGCGACTAGTTTGGTGAAGGTAATCTTCTAAACCCTGGGCAATAATCTCCTTTCTGTGTTATGTAGTATAAATTCTGTGATGGCAAAGAACACCATCATTTCGGAGGCAAATTGAGACCTGTGTTTCTACAGATTCTCTATGTAAGAGCACCTTGACTTAGTTTCTCTCTTTAAAGAGTCAAGTAGAGAAAACTCCTTAAAAGTGTGGCAAATCCTCTGTGCAGTTGTGTAAAGTTGTGTGAGTGTTGCCTGCTTTCTAAGGAGATGATATTGCAGAAAGTTCAGCAACTGAGTATGGAATGAGTATGAAGGTTTCCAGTTAAGCCCAAGAAGACAAGAAAATTTGAAAGGACTTTTTATAGATTAGTATATTGGCCGAATTTAATGCAGTAAACTTACAGCAAGAATCATCTCATTCCGGTCTTAAATACTACACTAGGTAAGACAAACTACAGAGTATATTAAAATTTGTTGGTCATTGGTAAGTGGTATTCTTTCTTACACTGTGGTGTGTTCAAAGTTAAGTAAATGTGGGGTTTTTCTCCACTGGAGGAAGGAGTAGTTATTGATAGAGTTCTCAGGCTTAATAGTGATGGAAAACCTTTTAAAAATAGTAGAAACATTTGGAGCAGTGGTCTCCCTCTCATGAAGCACTGCAAGAAAGGAAGCAGGCATTATAAACCCTACTCTGCAGTCAGTCATTTCAGATGATATTCCTAATAGAAGGTGCATCTTTCCATCCAGTGAAGTGAACTGATTTTTCTTTTTTGTATTATTATTTTATTCCAAACCTGGAAAAAAGTATAGCTTCCATGTTCTAAACGACCATCTCAGATTAGGGTGCATTACACCATCTTGTGGATATAAAGAGAGCACTAAATTTTGTTTAATGTCAGTTTGGTTCAAAGGATAATCAGTGTTTCCACTGAGAAGATACTTTGATTTTAGAAAAAAAACCAAACATAATATAAACCTCTGTAGGATCTTTATAATATGCATTATTTGAATGCTGTGGTGTTATTTTTTTTTTTTTTTTTAAGGTTGTACATCTGAGATGAATTTTTCATCTGTCTCTTTCTCAGCATGGCTGAAAAGAATACTCATATACCTATAATTTACTGTTGTGTCTACATTTATACTTGAAATACGTATTTAGAAACTCACTGGTATTTATATATATGCAAAATAAGAAAGTTTTGGAGCTGTCATTTGTCAACATCTCTCTGACTGATGAGGCCACCTACATTTCTTAATATTATTTTAATCATAAGTCCACCTGATGAGTCACAGAATGCTTCACAGTCTTTAGCAGTGCATCTGGTAGAGATTATTTCACCTACACTTGATGGAAATTTTATGGGAAATTTAAGTACCTGAGATAAAATGTAGCTCATGAAAAATGTTCAGTAGCCATGCTGTTAATGCCACTTCTCCCAGAGGATGAAAAAAGACAGGAAATGCTGTAGAAGACTCTGTCATCTGTGTTCATTAACTCTTAAAAAACTTGTTAGTTTTATTTCTGCTGGTGGTGCTTCTAGCACTGCAGTGACTCCAGATACCATGTGAACTTAGACATTAATCATTCATTCATCATCCAACTTCACTATTACTGGTGGACTCTCATGCTAATGATACAACAAGACTGTGGCAGAAGCTTTCTTCCAGAAGCATGCAGTGAAGTGCTGTTTTTATAGAATGGAAGCACAAGCTTACTCCTATATTTAAGTTCTGTCAAAGCACAAAATGTTCAAGAAATACCACATTTCCCCTCTGAAGGAGCTATGCTTGAATGGCAACTGGTGGTTAATTTTCCAATTGCTTGTGTGAATCCTGTAATAGAAAAATTGGGAAGTATTCTTTTACTGCCTCTCTATCAGAGTCCAAATGGTTTCAAATATTTTACCTAGAGCAAGCAAGAACTCCTTCAGTCAGTGAAGGGAAAATCATGTCCGTTACACAGTGTGAAACTGAAGTTTTGCCATTAGATGTCTGAAACAATACTTGGGGCAAATAAAATTATTTTTTTACTTGATGCCATCATTACAGCTGGGCTGGATGAGCTATTGTGTGTATTTTCACAGCATATTTAGACTGCTTTTAGAAAGTAACTTGTATGGTATCACAAACTGAGTGCAGCTCTTGGTGCTCTCTCTCACATATACCTTCACCTTCTTGGAGAGTCCTACTACAACAGCGTGTCAAATATGAAGTGGTACATGGTAATTGCTACTAAAAAGCCTTGGATATAAAAATGGGCTGAATAATATGTTTGCTGAGTACTATACTAGCAGGCTGCCTATGTGCAAAATGTAATTCTCTGATGTTATTAAGAGGCATACATTTTTAAGACACTGTCAGACATTTCTGTGCTTGTCCCACATCTGTGTGTTACATTGCTGATCCGCTAATGCGTGGTGATAAATTCCCAGCATGTCAGGATAACCCTAACAGAAAAATGACACTTTCATAAGTGTCTCTTGATGTGTTTTCTTTCTTCCAAAACTTATAATCTTTACCATGTTCAGAAATCTTTCAACAGCATTTCAGGGCTTCCAACAAAATGATTAAGAATTCAGTTTTAATGGTCATAACATACAGAATGCACAGGTACCACTTACAGGTAGATTTATTACATAGATAGGAGAGCAAATGAAAAGCCCCCCTACCTTCCTAAGCTGTTTGAGACAGTAGGCTTAGCTAGTATCTGGCAAAGCTGTAAAACGTAGCATTAATTTTAATGCTACCTTTTAATTAAAATTAATGCTATCTTGCAGTAGACATATGCAGCATTATCTGTGATTAAACGTAGAAAACACTTTTATACTATAAAGTAGTGTCTGAATTAGAGAAAAAGAAATGAATGCTCTGGGTTTTTTTGGTTATTCACTTGGGTTTTGATTTTTTTTTTATGGTGGGTTTTGGTTTTCATTTCAACTTCCCCCTATTCTACTCAATATTTCTCTTCTACGTTGAATTTTTAGGGCAAGTTTTGAGTCGTTAACAGTCCTATTCAGACTTGAGTGCAAAAGGACTGGACCAGATGGGAAAAAAATAACTTGTGCCAAGATAAACATGTTTTTCCTACAATTTTAAAATTGCCTTTACAAATGCTCTTAGGAGCTGAAAAATGAAAAATGGTAGAAAGGCCATCTTCAGCTCAGTCTAGTGAAAAGGAATCTCATGTGTCCTGCTTTTGTTGCTTCCAAAACTGGAGATTCATACAGATCTCCAGCTGGACTATTTTTATATCTTGATATTTTAGAACATCTTTTTCTTTAGTTTATTTGGTACAGGATAACTTCAAAGTAATGTTATACATAGCTTAGGTGTAGTAATTTATGTATGTGTGATTTTAAAGCGGGTCTGCACTAGGAGCTCTAGCCAGGGTAACTTTCTCACATTTCTGGATGGTGTCCTAATTTCGTTATGCTGCTGAATGCTGGCAACAGCATTCTAGCCCCAGGCTTATTTGGTAGGCTTTGCCTGTTTTTAGGTTGTGTTGTCCAAAAAAAGTTTATTCAGTATCGACTGCTCACTTCAAGCAAGTGAAGCCAGCAGTCAGAGATTCTCACTTCCAGTTTTGTAGCACATCACTTCTAACAGAATAAAATAGGAGATTCCATACCTGGGAAGAAAGCAGCATAACTTCCTTTGTTTTAAGAGCTGGTGAGTTAGCTGGGCAAAGAGCTCAAGAATGCAGCTATACATGTTTGAATGTTTTGCATTATTTTGATTCCTGCCATCTAACGCCATTGTTTTTTCAAGAAAAAGGTATTGCAATCCTGATTTTTGAAGTGGAGGCATCACGTATCTCACAAAATTAATTAGAAAGTCTTAATTTTCATCTGAAGATGCAAAAAGTAAGTGTTGGTTTAGGATAGGATGCTGAAACATAATTGGCAAATCTGTATTAGTGTTTAAGCGTGAAGTGAGCTAATATCATGGATTTAAAAAAAACTAAAGAAACAAATAAATATAGGCCGTGGTAGCATTTGAAGTGGTAGCACAAAGTTTATTCTCAAAATGGAATGTTTAAGGACTCTCATTAAACATAATAACATAAAATTGCTGTAAAAATTGCCCATTTCTAGGTGGTGATCTCTACATATATTTGTTTAGTTAATACCAAGTTACTCGATGCATTGAGTTCTCTGTTTCTTTGTTACAGGTCTGTTACCACAGCTATTAGGAGTAGCACCAGAGAAGGCAATAAAACTTACTGTAAGTTTGCAAATAGATTGTTTTCACATTTCTCCATAGTAAAGTTTACATCTAATTACAGCTAGCGTATTAAGGATTTTTATCCTCGATGTGTCAGCAAAGTGGTAAAGCGTCTTCCATCACTTTTGCTTGATGCAAACTTAATTACAAAAAGCACAAAGCAACTGTTTATATCTGACTTTGTGAGCATTATAGGTGGCATACAAGTCACATGCAGAGAGATGCATCTATACATTTTAAGAATCTTACTGAAAACCTATTTTTGGACTCGCTCCAAAATATAACAGGCTTGTTCAACTTGTTCAGCTCATCTGCTTGTAAGCAGAACAGGCCTTTGGTTTCACTTCTTCACAGAAGTGAATAATTATTTTTTGGTCTTGGAGGACTTTTGATTTTGTATCTCCATGTGGCTCCTGTATATTTAATTCTGGCACAAGAGGAGATAGTATGAGCATGTAGTGGAGTGTTGGTAAGAAAGGAACTTGTTTGCATGCATTTTTGTCCCATGTTTCCTAAATATGTTACTTCAATAATTTTGTTATTTCTTGCTTGATTTTTAAGGCACTGAATAATTTATTGTTATAATCTAATTGTAATGTTTTGGTTATTCACCAATAAGCTAGTATTCACCAAAGTTAATAGCATGCATTTAAAAAAAAAAGAAAAGTACTTAATGCTATTAATTGAATTACTTTTGCATTAAAACTGAATTTATATATAAATTTGTAAGTGTAGTGAGCTTTTACAAAATCTTAAATGGTTTTATCAGTGATTTTCAGGTAATTATTATTTAATTAGTGATTGTTATATCTTTTCAAGAATACTCAAATTGTGCTGCAAATCTTCATTAGAAAAACATACCTTTGCAATATATAAAATCTAATACTTGCTTGATGTCTTTTAGTTTGCTAGCCTCACAGATGTGTTTGCATTTTCAATTACAGAGACTTTGCAACTGATGAGTGTTTTCTCAAATCTTTTAATTTATCAGCTTTCATAAATGTTTGTTTTTTAAGGTTAATGATTTTGTGAGAGATAAGTTTATGGCTAAAGATGGCTCTGTCCCACTGGCTGCAGAAATTCTTGCTGGTGGCTGTGTAAGTATCTTTAATTTCCTTCATATGAGACCGATGAAAGCACAGTGTCTAAGATTAATTCTGTGGACTTAGACTTCTGTTTAACTGCAGATCCAGTTCAAAAGCAGACTCTACTAAAGCATCTCAGTTCTTTCCTAGATAGGCCAGCCGTTCTTGATGAAAGGGTAAATGTTTCTGCGCATCGTGCCTTTTAACTGTGCTGTATAATTCTCAAACAGCTAGGAGTTTGATTCCTTTATAAAGAATGTGTCTATATTCATGTTGGCTGTAGTTTATGGCCTAAAGAGAATTCATGCTAACCTTTCCAGAAGTTAGTAATGAGCTACTACTTTGTGGCACCCACTCTGCCACGTCACTTCTTTCCTGATGTGTTATTGCACCTGCTAATTTTCACTTTTTGCAGTGATACTGGCTTTTTAAAATGGCAAAAACGACTCATGAGTCTTTGAGTTCGTAGCAGAGGTAGGCTGTGTAATGCTAACTCGGTACATAATGCATTCCTGAATGTAGGCTGTATTTAAAACCCACTAGGCTTTTAAGAGTGTTTTGCTTGCACAAAATAGTATCGTAATGAACAACTGGCATATTATTGGGTAAATGATAATACTTCACGGTTTGGTCTAGTTTTGTCTGTTCATATTACTTTATCCGGTATATTGATTTTGTTGAAGCGAACGTAAATACTTTAGGTAAAATGAATAGTTGTTCAAAGACCGCTGCACTTTACAGATAAAGAACACTGTTTATTTAAACTGCCTTTGATCACTGGGGCAGAGCAATGTTGGTATATTTTCAATCTAGCTTTGTTTCTGCTGTCATAAGACAGATGAGGTCACATTTTCAAGCAGCTTCTGCCTGTGTTGAAATCTGCAGTGGGCCGCAACTGAAAACCAAATGCCTGTGTCTCGGCCTGAGCGGGCGCGGAGGCCTGTGCCGTGGAGGCCTGTGCCGCATGTGCCTGCAGCCCGCCGCGCTTCTCTGAGCCCCAGGGTGCAACCTCTCGCTGGCGTTGCAGGCTGAGAAGCCCTGGCTTTCTGTAATTCTCAGGAGATGGGGCAGAGTTTGGCTGCTGTCTCACTGCTCCTGCTGTTTGATCACTGACCTGTTGTAGACTGCCAGGTAGGATCCCCTTGTTCTGTAACTTTAGGAGCGTTCAGGGGAGGAAAAAAAAAGAAGGGGAGGGAGAGAAGAATGTGGATCTCTGAAGCCCTGAATAAGAAGCATGCTGTAAATGAAGGAAAAATGCAATAAAGTGCTTGCAGAGTAAAAAAAGTGTTTGCCCCTTACACTAATAAAACGTCTTATGAACATAGCAGCCATAGTGAATTCAGCAAAATTTTCATTTAAAATGTCATTTGATCTAGAGTTTTTATTTTTACAGACTGCTGTGAATTTTTTAATGTAGAACAAAAAGCACTCTTTACAGAGGCCTGTCATTCACAAGAATGCTGCTGCAGCAAGTGTTTTGCCAGTAGTTTGTTGTAAACTAAGGATCTGCTTGAAGAGACAGGTAGTTTGAGACGTATTTTAAATGGGCTGTAAATGTTGGCTTTTCCTATTTGGTATTTGAAATATATATTAAGAATGAGATGCTGCATAAAGTTGTAGCATTAGACGTGCAGTGGCAGAATGCCTTGAGTTTTCTTTTAACTGGAATGCTCCACTTAAGGGCATAGTCTAGTGCCAGGTAGATAGGTTGTAACTTGTCTTTTATGCAGGTGGTCTTTGGGTTTGTTTGTTTTTTTTTTTATTTTTTTTTCCCCTTGTAATTTTAAACCCAATTCAGACGAGCAATAGAGACACATTACACATGGTGCCTAGTTTTTTGGGGTGAATTTTTCTCTCATGGTGTAAATATATGCATAAAATATAGGATGCCAAAGACAGGCTTCTTCCTATAGCTTTCAGCATTGGGTTGGCCAAACATTTTATCCTCATTTAAGCCAACACGAAACCTGCAGTTTCTCTGTAGAAACAGTAAGGACACTGTTGAATGCTTTTGAAAATTTTCAATCTTGGATTTTTATGCCATTTCACAGTGTAGTATTCACTTACGTGGGAGGCAAGAAGACAAGGAGTGTGTGATGTGTTGGAGTCTAAAAAGGGGCAGCTAGCTAAGATAGATTTTATAAAAGATACCTGCCCTATCACCTTGCCACTTTCCACATCTGATTCTCAGCTGTGATTATGTTGCAAGTACAGATGTTGAATTTTCCTTCTTCAGCGCTTCTGTTTCCTTGAAGTGGATTCATTGCTTATGCGAGAGCTGTGTGCTGGGATGTGTGCTAGATTTTAATGTTTTAAATACCAGCCCTGTGAGTAGAATGTGGGTTTAATACCTAAGAAAGGGAGGACGGAGCAGACACTTGGATGGTCTGGGTTGTTCAGTAACACAAAGGACTTTGGAGGGGTCAGTATCACCTGAGTAGCTCCACTCTGCTGTTTGCCCAGCCATTGCCAGGCGTTGACTTTTAAGTCCCCAAAGGAGTTCGCTTGGCATCATAATTACTGAGAATTAGTACACATGGCTGACTTTTACACTTGTAACTAAAACTGATTGTTTCATTGAACAAGTCTTTTTCTGTTTTATAAACTCTTTTCTCCCTTAAAAAAAAAGAAAATAGAAACATCTTTTACTTCATGACCTCAGTTAACAGCCTGTTTCATAGCTTTTTATTATGTGAAGATGAAAGTGATAGGTTGGTTGAGATTTAATTTTTTTTAGACCCCCAAGAATATAATTAAAATTACAACCTTTATATTTTCATACAGGATCTTAAGGTTTGTTATCTAAATTGCTAACTCACGATTTCTATCCCCTTTGTGAGAAATTTTCCTAGTGACTGTGGTATTTGTTACCCATAAAAATACTTGTAACTTTTAGATTTGCACAATGCTTGACACTCGCCATGAACTTTCATTGCTGCTGTGCATTTAGGACTCTCGTCACTCAGTCCTATATAGCCCTTATCATTATTAGACTAGTAGAAAGCTTCAGTTCCAAGACATAGTATAATGATACTGTAGAGCTAAGATTTGCTGAGCATCTAAACCACAAAGCTGACTTGACCTCCTTGGATGAAAAAAGTGCACAAACGTGTTAGGTTTGATTTCTGCTAATGCTGTAACTTATCTTCAGGGATTCTTTAATAAAAGGATGGTCTTGAGTAAGCTGTAAGTGCAACCTGAGATCTTTATTTTTACAGTGGCAATAATATTGAAGTTCTGTAAGCTTTTTTTTCATGGTCTTTAGATTTATTTTATACTTTAAATAAAAATAATCACTGGTTATATATATTTTAGCTGTTTGCTTCTTTTAAACTTAATTCATTTTAAAGCTCCTGTTAAAAGTAACCAGTTTTGGAGTGGTGTTTTTTTTTTCTCGTTTTCTTTTTCTTTTTTTCTTTTTCTTTTTCTTTTTATTTCTCTTTTTCTTTTTTCTTTTTTCTTTTTCTTTTCTTTTTCTTTTTCTTTTTCCTTTTATTTCTTTTTTTCTTTTTCTTTTTCTCTTTTTCTTTTTCTTTTTCTTTTTCTTTTTCTTTTTCTTTTTCTTTTTCTTTTTCTTTTTCTTTTTCTTTTTCTTTTTCTTTTTCTTTTTCTTTTTCTTTTTCTTTTTCTTTTTCTTTTTCTTTTTCTTTTTCTTTTTCTTTTTCTTTTTCTTTTTCTTTTTCTTTTTCTTTTTCTTTTTCTTTTTCTTTTTCTTTTTCTTTTTCTTTTTCTTTTTCTTTTTCTTTTTCTTTTTCTTTTTCTTTTTCTTTTTCTTTTTCTTTTTCTTTTTCTTTTTCTTTTTCTTTTTCTTTTTCTTTTTCTTTTTCTTTTTCTTTTTCTTTTTCTTTTTCTTTTTCTTTTTCTTTTTCTTTTTCTTTTTCTTTTTCTTTTTCTTTTTCTTTTTCTTTTTCTTTTTCTTTTTCTTTTTCTTTTTCTTTTTCTTTTTCTTTTTCTTTTTCTTTTTCTTTTTCTTTTTCTTTTTCTTTTTCTTTTTCTTTTTCTTTTTCTTTTTCTTTTTCTTTTTCTTTTTCTTTTTCTTTTTCTTTTTTTCTTTTTTTCTTTTTTCATACAGCACTGGCCATTGTTATTATTTTTTGAGTTATATTAACCAATTGAAAACTCTGTTTATAAAAGAGGCATAAATATTATTGCGGGTGGGTTGAGGTGTTGCCTTTAGCAGTAAGCTTTCAGGACAGACAGTAATTTTGCTTAGTTCCTTAAAACAGTTCCATTTGTAACTGAAAAATTTACATTTTATCTGGAAAAAAAAATTATACTGTGATTAGGAAAGAAATGCAAAGATGCAAAATAAAGAGTGATCATAAACCACATATAAAATATTAAGAAAACCTGAAGTGTCGTAGCATGACTAAAAAGAAATAGCTATATAATATGTTACCTTGTCTGTGTATAGTGATACAATTATGAAGGTAAATGGGAGGCTTAATTTTCAGCAAGAAAAGAGCACAACATTTTGCTTTATTAACCTTTCCTTTTTCTCTTCCTCCTCTTTCCAAGCACACACATTCTTTTCCTTCCCAGCTGCTCAGTGTGTGCGCACTATTAGCCAGTTTAAATCGTGTAGCACAGTGCAATTACAGACCCCATACAGATCTGCTTCTATTTAAGTTGTCAAGATAATTTTAGGCATATTTCTAGGGACTTTATAGTAATCGTAATAAAGTTAAAACATACTGGACCTGCTTGGACCTCAGCTCTGCTATGGAACATAAAAATTGGGTACGGTTAAGGTGGAGTTCACCGAGAGAGTGCAAAATCCTGTCCATAATTACTTTTTATAAAGGAATATGATGTGAAATTCCAGATGAATTGTGCCAAATAACTGATCCAGTGCAGATAGTTTTATTAAGCTACTTACAACATCTATTTTATGTTTCAGAGAGTAATAAAGATACATCCACAGCTGAGCTGCATTTTCTCTGTGGTACTGCAGTGGAGGTAGGCAGTGTAAGGGCTGCAGTTCCCACTCTTCTTAGATCTCTTACTTGCAA